TTTATACCTAGTCCGTGTTTTATACCCAGTCCGTATTTTCCAGTCCGCGTTTTATACCTAGTCCGTATTTTATACTCAGTCCGCAGTCCGTAGTCCGCAGTCCGTAGTCCGTGTTTTATACTGACCGATAAGTTAACAAAGATCACAAAATACATGTAAGCAATTGCTCTTAAGTTAGCGGATCTAATGCTATATTTTACCCTGACTCCACTCACTAAAAACAAAAGACTTTATACAACATATAAAATTACGTTAGTGATCAAAATAAGAAAAAAAACTTCGGACAATACATGTACGTGACATGGTATTGCAGAATAATTATTGAAGCTGAGAACAGTGACGATCGAGAATACTGGCTCTACAGTCTGCTTAAAAATTACCTTCTTAGATTGTGCAAATTCACTCAGCTGTTCTGTTGCTTTTGTACGGTTAGCCATTCCGTCAGTCTTCTAGGTTAATCTATTCGTGATTTTTTTAGAACCAATCTACGAACTGTTTCCTATGTACGTGTCTGTACGTGATGCTTCACTGTGACGGAACCAAGAGAAGTGGAAGGAGCCTAAGAGTCACGTGATCCTGTTTGCCAAATTTGGCAAGTGGTTTTGTGGGCGGGTTGGGGGTGCGGTACGACGCCCGCCCCGTCAGTACATTTCAAAATCAAGATACCCGTGACGGTAAGACGCGGTATATCTAAACGATCTCACGAAAAAATAGGGGACTGTGAACAGTCTAAAACAACCTAAGCTAGCAAAACGCGATTTAGCCTCCATTGTTTTGGTTTTCAAAGCCGGCGCTTTTCGCTACTAGTGCGGGTTGTAACATATAGCCTAGAAGTAGCTAGAACTAAACCCAAAGCTTCTCGATGTTGTACCATTTGTTGTCACTTATAACCCAGCACTTCCACGCATTTCTAATATCCTACGCAAACATTTTAACATCTTACACTCCTCTAACCGTTGCAAAGACGTCTTTAAGCAACCGCCTTTTGTTGCTTACAGACGTAGCTGTAATCTTCGTGACCTTTTAGTTAAAGCACAACTACCCGTTATCTCCACCAATCATTTTCCGCCAGGCTGCTGCCGTTGTGGACAGAACTGTGCCACTTGTCCATACATAACTAACGTCCTCACAAGTTATACCTTTTAGGCTACAGGTGAAACACGCTCTATCACTTCACACATTACTTGTAACACTAAAAATGTGATCTACATGGTTCAATGTAACCGTTGTAATTTACTATAAAAATTATATAGGTGAAACTAAGCGACGTCTCAAGGACAGATTTAACGAACACAGACGTGCAGTCGACAAAACTAACATTAAATCTAAACCCACTACTGTTTCTGAACACTTTATCTCTCACTCTAACCATTCTCGTACTGACATGCAGTTAATCCCACTAGAGAAAATTCATTCCTCACGTGACTCAGTTCGTAAGGCCAGGGAGTCGCATTTGATAGATAAGGCCATGACTCTGGCTTGAACCTCATGGCCTAAACCGCCGTGACGATTTATTGTAATCCATATCCTTGGTATTTTTCCTTTCCAGTTTTTATGTTGTACGTCATTTCCGCCTCTCCCTTTTATTGCGACATTCTCCATCTACATAATATTGTGATCGCTACATAAGTTCAGTAACATCTGTAAACCGGCCTGAAGAAGGCTGGTATGGCCAGCCGAAATATTGTTATAAAAAACAATACACGTTACTCGCGTTGTTTTAAATCAGCTTTGCAGTGGTCTTTGGACTTCTCGTGTGTGCTTATGGCAATCTCGGCAATGCTTATGACTCCCTTGACAAATTCCAACTAGCAATAGAGTACCACAAGAAACACCTGAGCATTGCCAAGGAAGTCGGCAAAAGGGCCTGCGAAGGAGGTACGTGCCTATTGCAATCTCGGCAATGCTTATAGATCCCTCAGCAAATTCCAACTAGCAACAGAGTATCACACGGAACACCTGAGCATTGGCAGGGAAGTCGGCAACATGGCGGGAGGAGGGTGTGCTTATGGCAATCTCGGCAATGATTATCAATCTCTTGGCAAATTCCAACTAGCAGTAGAGTACGAAAAGGAACACCTGAGCATTGCCAAAGAAGTCAGTGACAGGGCGGGAGTAGGACATGCTTATAGTTGCCTCGGCAGGGATTTTTACTCCTTCGGCGACTTCGAAAGGGCAATAGAGTGCCACAAGGAAGACATGACCAAGGAAGTCGGCGACAGGGCAGGACAAGGTAAGCCTGTGGCAATCTCAGCCATACTTATTCTGCCCTAGACGATTTCCAACGAGCAAAAGATTACTACGAGCATTGTCTGAGCATTGGAAGTTGGCGACAGGGTCGGCGAAGGACATGCCTATTATTGAGACGGTTGAGGGTTGTTTGAATGAAGCTTTATTTCATTTTAAATCCAGCGTAGAAACCATTGGTACTATCAGGGCGAGCTGGATTTCGGAAGACGTATGGAAAATAAGTTTTCGAATGAAATGAATCTGAAGAAGCAATCGTTTCATTCTATGGAAGATATCTGTTTTGACAGTTTTTATGCAGGGGCGGATCTAGGGGGAGGGTGCAGGGGGTGCGCACCCTCCCCTGAGATGACCTGCGGTTTTCTAATACAACTGGTATTCTGCAAAAAGAAAAAAACTATGTGGTTTATTGGTGTTGAAGCAGAGCAAGAGACGAGTGCACCCCCTCCTAAAAAAAATCCTGGATCCGCCCCTGTTATGGCTCTGGAAAATAAAACGATAAATATGTGGGTACTGGGCAAGGAAAAAGACTCCATTTTTAGGGTAGCGGAGCTGAAAAGTGGAGGTGAACACGAAGATTGCTTTGCTTCGCTTTAAGAAACTACTTTGAAAAACATTAGGACTGGCGTCGATGTTAGGTGCGAGAATCGGTCATTGGATGAACAAATTGTAAACGCAACTGCCAGTGCAAGAAACGATGATCAAGGACTAGTGCTATTGCATAAGACTATCAACTGTTTTCAGCCACTGTATGATGCGGTCATTCGTCCCATTGAAGACTTTCTTGATGGAGATGAACCCATTGTAGTCCCTGATGGCGCTTTGTCCTTAGCTCCTTGGGCAGCCCTGACTAAGTGAATCTTTTTAAAGGATCCGCACAGTTCCCTCTCTTACATGTTTTAAACTTATTATAGATTCTCTAGATGATTACCACTGTAAAAGTGGCGCCCTACTTATTGGAGATCCATGCCTGAAGAAAGCTACAGATAAATGGAATAATCCCATTTATAATGAGCTACCATTCGCAAAGAAGGAAGTGGAGATGATTGCAGAAATTCTAAACGCCCAGCCACTAACCGGAGAAGCTGCAACTGAAAAACAGGTGCTTCGAAGAATAAAGTCAGTCGCTTTGGTTCACATTGCAGTACATGGAAGCAAAGAGACTGGTGAAATTGCTTTGGCTCCAGAAACTGATTGGCAACCCAAGAATCCTATGAGGAAGGACCATATGTTGAAAATGTCTGATGTACAGGCTATCAATCTGAGAGCGAGGCTAGTTGTGCTTAGCTGCTGTCACAGTGGTGAAGGCGAGGTCGCTTCTTAGGGTGTGGTGGGTATGGCACGAGCTTTCTTGTTTGCTGGTGCTCGCTCCGAGCTGGCAACTCTCTGGGCAATTGATGACGAAGCCACCCAGGTGTTCATGAAAAGTTTCTTTCAACATCTAAGAAATCGTGAAAGTGCCAGTACTGCTCTGCATAAGGCCATGAAAAGTCTTCGAGACTCTGACAAGTTTTCTGCCCCGAAGTACTGGGCTCCATTTGTGCTGATTGGCGATGACGTTACGATTGCCTTCGCTGAAAATCACTGTGAACGTTGTAAGTAGAGGCTTTTCCTTTGAACGTGCTCGCACTGCTTAAAGTCCAAATGACAGAAGGTGTAAAAATGAAAACGTAATAGTTTAAGTTTAACGGAATCGGAGGACTTTATTATAACTGTTAAGAAAGGCGCAATCAAATATGCAGAATAAAGATAAGTGGTTATTGCTCTAGACATACTAAGTATATAAGCATTCTCTCACTATGCCAACGCACGTTTGTTATCGTCGTTATCAGGGTTATATAGGCCTATAATAAACTCCATATATGGTCAAAAATAAGTCAAGACGAGTGCGGTTAAAATAGCTCAACAATTTTCCGGACCAGGATAGGCCATTTTTAGAGTAGGCGGTCTTTTCCTAGTGACAAATAAGAAATAGAACTGAATAACAGTTAAGGTTATAAATGCCTAATGAAAATAACCTTCTTTATCTACAGTAATACAAAAAGAGTAGGATTTTCGGGGATCCTTAAGATGGCGAATAACATACCTGAGAGCACAGGGCAAAGCAAGTGGTCCAGATTCGTTTTAAAATAGGCCTTTTTGATTTGTATGTTTTTTTTTTGCCAATTCGGACACTTGAGCTTCTCAAGGAAGTTAGCCCCTGTCGTTTCACAAATTATGGGTGCATAAGAACGTAAATAAAACATTTGAAAGCAAAAGGTTATCTGGGGTAAAATTATATGGTCTGAAATTGGAAAAACGAAACATACAAGCTAAAAGGTCTAAGGGGCAATGGACGTTGATTTTACTCTTCACAAGGCTCTTATACTAGGTCGAGAATTGAAAATAAAATATGTATTACTGTTAATTAAGGTCCCGTTTGTTGGGGCAGGCAGTATACAGGGTGTCCCAAAAGTTCGTTCCTCTACTTTATAAGTCTGTATTTCAGTACGATTGGATTTGGTAAGAAAATCATTTAAACAAAAGTGGTGACTTTCAATCTAATTCACTTTCATTCTAATTCATTTCGTACTTGTTGTGCCATCTTTTGACTCGAATATTCGATTTGTGTACTGCCGCACCAAAGGTGCGCTTGCGCGAGTATATTTTCCAGCCTTTTTTTGTTTGTATTTTATAGCCCGAATCGCTCGAACTCCTTCCTTGTCTTTTGTGCATATCAAGAAAGATAAACACCCTTAACGCAAAAACGTCCAGCTAAGTGAGAGCATAAGCATGTATTCTTCGATTTACGGGCTTATATGTTATAGAAACTGCTAAAAAACTGGAAAAATCCGAATGTTGGGTGGTAAATGATCATGGCGAAATAAAGGTTTTGAAGGCAAGAAACGAGGCGGAAGACCAACAGTCCTGAATAAAGCAGGTCTCACATAGTTAGCAAGCCAAGTCCAGAAAGGGTCATGAAAAGCTGTTTAAAATGTTTAAAAAATTAGAGACTCCTGAGATGGTCAAAAACAAACTCTGCTTAGTCTGCCAAGTAACGCCCAGTTCGTCTCAAATTTGTAAAGAAGTACAAATGCCTTACCGTCGAAGGGATGATTATCTTTTTTGAATGAGTGCCCAATATTTTTTTCAGCTGCCTAAACTAAACAAATATTGTTTGGGGGCTGAACTGGCTCCTGCGCACCAGGTGATAAAAGAGCTCAATATGGATCATCTGTGGGTCTACACGCTGTATTCCACTTCATGCCGCAATGGCTACAGGATGTGATAAAAAAACAAAAAGGGTAAGCCAGTAACTGAAATTTTTGAATACATGTTCTCGATAGTGAAATAAACATCTTCTAGGAATTTCAAGTAAAAATAAAGTTTTGATCAAAAGTTATAGTGCATGAAATTAGAGGAGCGAACTTTTGGGACACCCTGTAGGGACATTAACTAGTGCCTTACCCCAAACATAAAATGATCCTGTAGACTTTAAAAATGCAATCAGGGAGCCATAAACATGATATTTTTTAAATGATTTTTTTTGGCAGGCATAGCCTTTTATAAAGGAAATAAAGGGAGACGTAAAGAATCGACCATAAAAGGACACAGAAAAAATCTGAGCCCCAGATGAGATTCTAACATTTCAATCAAAGTCCATCTTTGCCATCCCGTAGCAAAAGATGACAGGAAATAGTTTCATTCAATGCTTAATTATGGTCTTTTAAATATTAAAACCGGACCATTTTTTTAGAATTTAAAGTTGATTCGAAGACACGTTTTAGCATTTTGAATAGCTAACAAAAAGAGTGATATAGCCCCTTAATTTAAAGGGTGTTTTTGTATTTCAGCGTGAGTGTTGTAGTAGCTATACTCTGGTATTAACTCAAGTATCCGAACTGTGGATCAGATTAATTGTGTAATTATTTCAGAAACTTAAGCGCACCATTGATTTAATGTTTTAATTGAGTTGTTATTGTAAAAGTAAGGCTAAGGCTGTTTATCAGCCAATTGTCTTGCAACGTGCAATGGTTTGTGCTATGTTTAAAAAAACTACAGCGATCTCTTAGCGAAGGTTACTCTTTTGAGAATCTCAAAAATTTTTTGCTTACCGTATTAACAGTTCTAGTTGGCGTTGTTTTCAGCCCATGGACTTGAAGTACGGCCTCTTTTAAACAAACTCCAGCACGTTGCGTGGTATTTTCTACAGTTTCTGATGTTACAGTACATGTGTAATGTTTTTAGTACATGTGTAATGTCGTAATAAAACTAAAGAAAATGAGACTGAATTTTTAGTGTGTTCGAAGAGATGAGGACAAAGATGTCCCAATGCAAAGCACATTTCAGAAACCTTCTCCCTGACACTTTTAAAAGCACATTCGATTAAAAAACCATTTCCCTCCCTGAACACTTCGTTGTCGCAAGGATCCTCACATATTATTTTAGGGCATATTTTTGATTAAATTGTTCTTAACCGTCTCGCCATGGTAACTATTTTCCCTTCCACACGTTTCGATGACTATCACTTCATATCCTCCCGCCATACTAAGTCATAAGGAACATGAAAGCACTGAAAGAAAAAAAAATCAAAGTTCTTTGTTCGAGGTTCCAAGATGATGGCCAATGCATTTTTGATTTTGAAACCACTCTCAAAAGTAAACTCACGTTTTCATTTTTTTCCTTTAGTAGACTTACTCTTGTCTGCGAACTTGAAAATTTTCACGGCACCCACCCCCCTCCACCCTTACGAGAGTGTCCCCCTTAACTCAATAACTGTATCCACCACTGTCCTTTCAACAAAAACATTTCGACCGAGAAGTACATATACATCGAACGCTGTAATTCGATAGAAGATCAGGAACGCCAGGTCATCCTGGAAAAAAAAAGTGGGAGAACTTCCCATTTTTTGGTTGAGATTGTCACAAAAATATCAGATTTATGTAGTTTTGAGCTGTAAAATACCTTAAGCCACGTGCAAACATAAGCAACAACTCCCAACATTGTTGGCCCAACAATGTTGGGGGTTAGTTGTTTCGTCCGTGTTGGAAGTGGTGTGCAAACTGATGCAACAACTTCCAACAATGTTGAGACTGCAGTGCATCGTGCGAAAGATACAACCCATAAAGCCCCGTGGAAAAGCACGCAACATTGTTGGCCAACAACTCTCAACAGTGCCTGGGAGTTGCTGCGTCCCTTTCCACGTGGCTTAAGACTTTGTAAACTTGAATTCGACAGCCATCTTGGCGCGCACGTGGCTTCAACAATGTTGGAGGATGTGTGCAAACGGATCCAACACTGTTGCACTAGCTTCAGCGAATCACGGGACAAAAGAAATGTTGGATGTCTCAAAAGTTAGACCGGTTTCAAAAACTTTGCGCAACGACTCCCAACAACACGCAACAAAAGTCATGCCGAAGGGTGTGCAAACGGAAGCAACATGTAATATCCAAAAATGTTGGGAGTTGTTTGCCAACAATGTTGCGTCTAATTGCAAGGAGCTTTTTATCAAACGATTTGTCATTTACCAATGTCTTTTACGTCTTTGCTGGGATCTTTTCGAAACGTTCCATTTCCAGTTTCGAGAAATGGTGTTGGGCTTATCCCTGGGGTCAGGTATAATTAAAACAGAAAGACATTAACGCAACTGTCAATGACGCAAAAAAGCTGAAATGGCTTTCCAAGAATGAGACAGACGACTTTTTAATTAATGTTGAATTGAGCAGCAGAAAAGTAGCAGAAAAGAGTAACACTGTAATGGGTCAAATGTCAACGTCAGCAGTTACTGTGGTTTTCAATAAGAGTATTACCAAAAAGCATGTGTTGATGTCAGTAGTGGATAAGGCAGCAATGAAGAAAGGGGGCCCTATGATGGCCTATACGGTGAGGCTGCGCCCAGGCTTCAGGTATATGAAAGGGTAGGGAAATCTGCCATTTTGGGTCTGTGAAAAGGCCCAAAAGGGCTAACAGATTAATTTTATGGCTTTATTTAGTCGAGAAAACGTATATATATATGTCACATATATACTTTCCCCTTCCTGCTTTTTATTACTCATAAGCTAAGTTGGAAGGGAGTCATGACGCATTGCACCGAGCCATATTCCGGCGAACATTTCGTCAAGATGAACATTTTACAGGAAACTCTCTTTTTAGTTAAAGGACACTTCTATTAGAAGCAGACCACACTAAAACGGACATCCATCTAGGGTTGGCCCCTGCCGCTGTTAGTTATCTCATATTAAATAGACAGCTTAAGCAACAACGACGGCGACGGCTACAAGAACCTCACTTAAAAAGTGAATTCGTGCTGCTTCAAACTTTATCGCGCTTATTCCATCTCGTTTAATTAGTCAAATGTTGGCAATTTTTTTGGAGCTGAATTCTAAAGGACTGTATCAAAGTTCAGGAAAAGAAAAATAAAGTTGTTGCCTTGTGTTCCCTTCCTTGACAAAACGTGAAATTAGGCACTCAAACGTTGTAGTCGTGCAATGACGGCAAAGAAATGTACAAAAAAGCTTGATGCACGTGCAAAGTTGATGTTTTGCTACTATAAACCCATGCTTTTTTGCTGTTCTAGTTGCAGTCGCCGTCGCCGTTGCCGTTGCTTAGGCTCCCCATTAAAGA